CAGCACAACAAACTAAGAGCAAAAAGATAATATAACTCTAATGAATAAACTTACTATATCAGATACTGAACGTATCTTTCTCCTACAGTCTGCTTTTCCTTTTGTACTGGGTAATACGGTTAAAAGTATCTCAGATCACTATACCTAATTTCTCAAGTCTGGTGCCTCAAAATTAACAGAAATAGATAAAAATGGTACAAACAGGAAAGCAAGAGATCAAAATAACATTATTTGAAGATATCGTCATATCGCATTTTAAAAGTCCTTGAAGACTACACCAGAATATGATTAGATCAGATACATAATGTCAATAAAGCAGCAGAACACAAAATCAACACCAAAAAACCAGCAACCTTTCTGAATATAGATAATGAAATTGTTAAGGATGAATTTAGGTTTAAAAAATAGCCCATTCATAATGGACTTAAAAATACCTAGGAATGAGCCTAACAAACAAAAGAACCTTTATAATGAATCAATACACCGAAAAAGGATATTAAAGAATGCACCAGAAGATGCTACAACCTGGCTGTTTTGCAAAATATGATGTACAGATTCAACACATTTATTCTCAAAATTGAAAAATATTTTCTTCATAGAACTCACTAACAATTTTAATAATAATCTAAAGTATATAACAAAGCATAACAGTCCCAAATAGCCAAAGTAATCTAAGAAGAAAGACCAATACTAGATGTATCACAGTGAGACTCAAATTAGACTGAAGACCCATATTAACAAAGCTTTTATGGTCCTGGGACAAAAACAAAAATATATATCAATAAAATACAAAAACAAAAAACAAAAAAAAAACAAGTGGATGCAGAAACAAATTTATGCTTCCATAGCCATTTAACTGTTGCCAAGTGTGTCAAGATACATTTGAATAAAAGATAGCCTCTTCTCTTCTACAAATATCACTGGGAAAACTGATATCTACAAGTGGATGAATAAAAATACGTTCCCATCTTTCACCATGTACAGAAATTGATTCAAATGTAAAGGCCAAAACTGCTAGAGGAAAACATTTTGACATATAGGAGGCATAAGCAAAAACTTTCTCAATAGAAATACAACAACATAGAAAATATTAGCAGGAATTGAAAAAATAGAATTCTTTAATATTGGAAAGCTTCTGCACAGTAAAGGAAATTTTCAATCAGGAAAACTAAGAGTAAGTTACAATGGGAAAACACGTGAATAATGTATTAAGTAAAAGATTAATCTCTACAACATAAAATTAAACACAGGAAAAAATTATCAAGTCAATAAATAAAGAACTGATTGGTCCATTCTCAAGACAAAAAATATAAATGGCAAATAAATATGAGGGAAAGTGTTGAAATACCCTGCAATCAGGGAAAAGTCAATTAAACTTCTTTAAGATTTCTTTCTATCAAAAATTTACAGGCAACTCAGAAATGCTGATAGAGACAGTCTTCCACAGGGAAGACCACAATGATTGGTTATCCAATACCAAATGCCAACCATAAAAATAAAGTGCCATTATATGAACTAAGCAGGATGTATTTAGGCATATGCAGGCATATATTACATTTAATGAAAAATGAGGCTATGGCTTTCACAGAGATCAAGGAGAGGTATATAGGTATGCTTGAAAGGAGGAAATGAAGGGAAGAAATGTAATTATAGTATAATCTAAAAAAAAATAGTAGTAAAATGTTTGGTGTATACACAGTGAAGTTTTACATGGCCATACAGAGAATGAAATTAGAATATGTGTTAGAACAATGACTAATGGATCATCATATTAAATGAGTTAAGCCAGAGTCTAAAAGGGAAATACATGTTTTCTAATTTTTCAATAATAAATTTTTAGAGATAGAAAATACATACAAACAGAAAAGAGATTAACATGAGTGTGAAAAGGGAGAATAAAGGGTATATGGGGCAAATATGCACACAACACATTATGACATGTGTGGAATTTTTTGTTATACAGCCAACTATGATTTGCAATTAATGTATATGAATAAAACACAACAAAATTACTAAAAGGAAGAAACCAATATGAAAATGCTATCTATATATCACATGGTTCTAAATGCATACTTTTCCTGGGAAAGACAGAATCTGTGAAAGTGATAAAAATGTTCAGTGGCTATCAAAGTACTGGAGTGGAAATGGGGTGGGGTGATGAATGGTTGAAGAATGAAAATAGATATATATGATATATTATTTAAATCCTACAGATTGCACTATTCCGGATGAATGTTCATTTCTATTTTAATTAATAATATGCTAAATTATCTCAGTAATTTTTACAAGTTAAACTAATATTGGTGTTGGGGCAAAGTAGCCAAAATTTTTTACTCAAGTTTCTAAAAACTTACAATAACATAAAATTCCTATACTAATTCCTTCAAATGCAAAAACAGCTGCTTCAAAATAAAAGGTAGAAATAAAATGGTAATTTAAATAAACAAAAAGTCAGTCTGAGGTTCTCTCCATACATTTCCTAGTTAACCACGATCAAATTTAATATGTAAACAAACCTTAACTTAAAAGAGTTAGAAAGAGCTGAATTTCCACCAGTCACCATTAAATGGTTTTTAGATAGTCCCAGAGAGTAGAATGGCTAGCAACTACCAATCAGGTGGCTTGGCTTATCTATAAGCCCACCATTGTTTCTGAGGCCTGTAGTGTTGTGAAAATTTTTCTCGTTTTTAATATTGCTGAACTCATGAAGTATCATTTATCCATTTATTCAAATAAACTTTCATTTGCCTATATATATATATATATATATATATATATATATATATATATATATGGAAGTAATGAGGGTTTTTGTTATTGTCTTGAATTTTTGCTATTTTTCTTTGTTTGTTTTTTTATTTAGAACTTAGTAATGGCTGTCCTTAAAACATGCCCAATCAAACGGACCCAAGAATCAAGCAGGTGTAGCTATTCTAATATCTAACAAGTTAGACTTCAAAACAAAATCAATCAAAAGAGATGAAGAAGGTGATTTTGTATTTATCACAGGAGAAATCCATCAGCAGAAAGTCTCAATTCTGAACATCTATGCCCAAAAACAAAGGCACCCACATCTGTAAACAGAACACTACTAAAGCTCAAAACTCACATAAAACCTCACATGCTCAAAGTGGGAGACTTAAACACCCCACTCTCACGATTAGATGGAACCACCAGACAGAACATAACAAAGAAAGAAAAGAACTAACAGAAGTTATTTCTCAATTGGGTTTAACAGATATCTATAGAACATTCCAATCAAACACAAAAGAATATACCTTCTTCTTTGCTCCACATGGAACCTTGTCTAAAATCAACCACATACAAGGCAACATAACAAACCTCAACAGATAAAAAATATTGGAATAGTCTCCTGTATCTTATCAGACCATCATGCTTTAAAGTTGGAATTCAACAACAACACAAATAGCAGAAACCCTGCAAACCCATGGAAACTGAACAATGTGCAATTGCACATACCTGTGTCAAAGAAGAAATAAAGAAAGAACTTAAAGACTTACTAGAATTCAATGAGAATGAAGACACAACATACCCAAACTTATGGGACACTTTGAAAGCAAAGCTAAGAGAGAAGTTCATTGCACTAAATGTCCATAAGACATTTCTAGTAGAGAATTAACACCACAACTGAAACCCTTAGAACAAAAAGAAGCAAACTCACCCTGGAGGAGAAGACACCAGGAAATAATCAATTTGAGGGCCAGAATCAATAAAGTAGAAAACAGGAAAACAATACAAAAAACTCAATGCAACAAAGAGTTGTTTTTTCGAGAAAATCAGCAAGATAGACAAACCTTCATCCAAACTAATCAAAAAGCAGAGAGAGAACATGCAAATTAACAAAATAGAATAAAAAACAGGAACATAACAATGGGCACTAAGGAAATCTAGACAATTTTCAAGTCATACTTTGAACACCTGTACTCCACAAAATTGGAAAATTCAAAGAAAATGGACAAATTTCTGGATACTTATCACTTACTATAATCAAATCAAGAAAAGATAAGCAACTTAAATAGACCTAGAGCCACTAATGAAATAGAAGCAGCCATCAAAAGCCTTCCAACCAAAAACAGCGCAGGGCCAGATGGCTTCAGTGCAGAATTCTATTAGAAATTCAAAGAAGAGCTAATGTCAATACTCCTCAAAATGCTACAGAAGGTTCATTACGAAACTCCTTACGAAGCAACTATTACCTTGGTACCCAAGCCACACAGAGACACAACTAAAAAAGAGAATTACAGAACAATATCTCTCATGAACATTAATGCAAAACTACTCAATAAAATACTGGAAAATCGAATCCAAGAACACATCAGAGAAATCATCCACCATGACCAACTAGGCTTCATCCCTGGGTTTTAGGGAAGGTTCAACATATGCAAATCTATCAATGTGATCCACCATATAAAAACTGAAAAAGAAAAACGACATAAACATCTCCCTAGATGCTGAAAAAGCCTTTGATAAAGGTCTTGGAAAGATCAGGGACAACAGGAACATACCTAATCATAATAAATAATACGATACTTTGGTGATTTTCCCATGGGAGTCCTCAACCTCCCTGGGTAGTGGACTTGGGGGAGGGTAAGATGGGGGATTGGCAGGGGAATGAGATAATGGGAGGGAGAAGGATTTGGGATTGGTATGTAAAATAAGATTGCTTTTAATTTGAATAAAAATTAATTTTTAAAAAAGATAAATCTCTAAAGGAACAGCAGCTACCAGGAAGCCACTATGACAGAATAGTGGAGGGGCGGGGCCAGAGAACCTTGGGTGGGGGGGAGGGAGGGAAGAACGAAAGGGTGCCAGAAGACCAGAGGGGAGGGGAGGGGAGGGGATGGGTGGGGAGGGGAAAGCCTGGAAGAACAAAAGGCTGATAAGACACTGAAGGAGAGGAGAAATACTAACACCAAGGGGCAGAGGGAACGCAGACAACAGGTTGATTTAATCTATCAGGGCCAGGAAACCCATAGGACAATCATCCACCATGGCCTTGAATCCTGAGGATCTGGGTAGTGGGTTCCGGCATAGCAAGGTGTCGATGTACATCAATGAACAAATGGCCAAACATGACAAAGGCCCTGATTTCTACCTTGAAAACCTGTCTCTGTCCTGGGAGGAGGTGGAAGACAAGCTCAAAGTCATCCTGGAGGATAGTGAGGTGCCCAGCGACGCTCGGGAAGCCTGTGCCTGGGGCACCCTGGCCTTGGGTGTTCGCTTTGCTCACAGGCAAGGCTGCTTACAAGGGCACGGGGTGCAGTGGCTACAAGACTTGTCTAGCATGCATAAAGTGGCTACAATCTCCTTGTCATCAGACCTGAAGCCGGTCACCCACCAACAAGATATGGAGCGAAGGGAGGTAAATCTCCAGCTTCAGCTGGTTAAGGCTAAACTGGAAGAGGTGCAGAGAGAGCGAGACCTACTGAGATTGAAGATCCTTCAGGCAGTAAGATTGTCACGTGGTCCTGTCTTGGCCCTGCTTATCCCACCCCTATGCCAGTACACCAATCCCTGAACAGATCTCAACAACCCTATGCTTTTCTCCCCAGGAGCTGAAGGCTCTCCCAACTGCTGTAAGACCGGCTGTGACCATTCCTTCTGCTCTTGTCAGAAGAGGAGGGACAGGGACACAATGGTCAGCTGCAAAGGAAGACTTGGCAGAGTTGATGGCTGCTGCTACAGGAAGAAGAGAAGATGGAGCAGATATGGCAGGGACAATAACTGGTGCTGAAGAGGCCTCAGAGGAGCCCAATGGAAGTTTCATGCACCTTCTTGGAGTAATGAAGTGGAAAAATTATCCCTTGAAAAGGCAGAGAGCAGGAGACCTCAGACCCAAGGAATCGTCTATGTTCCCTCTCTCGCAGTCCCTGAATCTGAGATCCATACCCTCCTCTGAACCCATTACTGTCCAACTCCCTGCTTCATTCACATACTCATATGAAAGCCCCTTCCCAGCCATACCCACCACATCCCAACTACCATCCACAGACAGAACCCCTGAGATACATCCCTACCCTGTGGCCTCTGACATGAGCCAACTGTCTGATCTGGGAATCCACAGAGGAGATCATCAAGAACTGCAGAAAGACAAGAGATCTTCAGCATTCCGCAGGCCCGGGGACTGGGATTGCCCTTGGTGTAAAGCTGTGAATTTTTCAAGGAGGGAAAACTGTTTCCACTGTGGAAAGGGAATCTGGCTGCAAAACCCTTAGTGAATTTGGAATTTGAAATAGAACAGAAACAAACCAATGATCTTTTCTCTTCTTTCTTTCTTTCTTTCTTCCTTTTTTTTTTTTTTTTTTTTTTTTTTTTTTGTGGTAGAGGGTACTGGGTAGAACTGGAGAAGGGGAACTAGGAGGATCAAGAGAATGGGACAAATCTTGGTGTGAGATATTGAAACAGTAGAAATGGTGTGGGGAGGCAGAAGTTTTGATTATTTCTTTTGTATTCTAGATCAACAGCATTCAATACCCTGGAATGCGCTATCTCTCTCTCTCTCTCTCTCTCTCTCTCTCTCTCTCTCTCTCTCTCTCTCTCTCTCTCTGTGTGTGTGTGTGTGTGTGTGTTTGTATGTGTGCACGCATGCGTGCGTGCGTGCGTGCGTGTGTGTGTGCGTGTGTGTGCGTGTGCGTGTGTGTGCCTGAGTGTGGTGATAGAGTCCAAGGATTATTAGCCAAAACTGATTCTCAGAGTGAAGGATCTGAAGGGAGGTAGATTCTATAGTCAACATGGGATTGAGTAAAGAGCCAGTGATCACTGAAGTTGGGGCCAGTGTCACAGGCAGTGATCCTGGAGGTCACAGTCCATCCCTGGCCCTGGCTAAGGTAGGGAACAGAACTGGCTGCTTTGCAAACAGTTTTAGATGGATGCTAGACACTCTGAGGAGCTGACAAATAGGAAGAGACTCAGAGGAGTGGAACAGCTGACCACAGAGAACTCAGCTAGATTTCATCTCTTTGCAGTTGTATTACACAAGGTCCCAATTTACCTAGATCCCTTCTTTAAGCTAAGAAGCAGGTTCGTTCCTGTTCTGAGCAACTAGATCATTCTGTCATCAGGCAATTTTTCTTGTATATCTTGATTTTTCAACAACCAAGGTCTCATGTAGCCCAGAGTGGCCTCAAACTTAAGATGTAGCTGAGGATGACTGACTCCAGATCCTCCTGCCTCCACTTCCTAAGTGTTGAGCTTATAGGTGTGGATTGCCATGCCTGGCTCAGAAAAGTAGTTTCAAAACAAAGCACCGTTAAAGAAATGTAATGGAATTGGCAGGGGAGTTGAAGAAGTGAGTAGTGAGGAGTCCTTTATCCCAAGTCTCCAGGAATGAACGGGGCAGGATGCCTATGTTCTGAGGGAATTCTATTACCAGAAACAGCTCAATCCTCCAGTAGTTGTTCCCAGTAATGAAATGAGGCCCATGTTCTGTGAGAGTAATACCAAAAAAAAAAAAAAAAAAAAAAAAAAAAAGAAAGAAAGAAAGAAAGAAAGAAAAAGAAAAGAAACAATCCAATGAAACCTGGGATGGGTTAGCCTCAGGTTTATGCTTGACTCAAATTAACATGGCAGAGATTTGTTACCCCTATGAGAACTCCGAGAGATTGTGGAGAATGCCAGCACCAGATGCAAGCAAGGACTTCTGTGACGGTACAGCCTTTTAACAGAACTCCCTGGTCCCCAGTGGGCACAACCATGGACAGGTCTGAACAGGAAACTCTACTGGTCTAAGGTGAGTCAGCCTCTGATAGGACACAGAGGGTTTGCCAGTCTATGTGAGCCAAAGACAGTGTGGTCTGATGGGATTCTCCCTTCCAACTCAGCAGCATGCTACATGAAGGAGAATGTGGATTTTAAAGGCTCTCGTGTATTCTGAAATGGAAAGTACAACAGAACCCTGTCTCAGTAGGGGAAGGGACTGCAGAGGAAGGTGAGAGTTGGGAGTTGGGGGAGTAGAGGCAGGTAGGAGGTTGGTCTTCTCCTAGCCTTCTTGTGGATATAACATATATTGAAATTGACCATGTGTGTACTTTAATCCACAGGTGGAAGGAGAAGGGGGGACTGCACCTGGACCAGACTAACTTCTTGGCTGTTCTCTAGGTACTACAGATCTAGAGAATGAGAAGCTGTTGTAGCTGTGAAACATTCACAGGAACAGATATGTGATTTTCGGTAGTCTGTTATTGTCGAGGATACATCAGGATTAGGGTTTTGGGCTTGTTCATCCTCTTCCATTTCCGAGATTGCTAATCTCAGTGCACTTGATCCTGAATTTGGATAGTTCTTTGTTGTGACCTAAAGTTTCTTGTGCATTTGAGGGTGTTCAGCAGATTCCTAGTCTCTAGGTGTCTGAGTGACCCGCTCCCTATTCCTTCAGTTGTGACAACCAAAGCTGCCTCTTGGGCGTAGATACATGTCCACTAGAGGGCAAAATCAACCTGAGTTAGGCATGTGTCAGGCAATGAAGTACTTAAGGGAATGAATGGGGGAAGACTCAAAAGGCAGGATCCCAGAGGCCAAGGCAGCTGAGCGATATCCATTAAGCCTAGCATTTACTTGGAATATTCAGACACACTTAGGATGGTGGCAGAGTAGAAACCAAACAACCAGGTTAAAGAGTGAAGAGCACTTCTACAAGGACTCTAGGCTAAAGGGAAGGAGTAAAGTGAGGTTGAGACACTGAACAAGGAGAACATAAGCCATTCAGAAGGAGGTAGAAGAAGGAAGATTTAAATGTAAAAAATATGGGAAAGAATAAGATCACATAAAATATTGAGGCATGATTATTGAATTATTAACATGTAAAATTCATATGACAAGCCTATTTATATTCTAAACAAAATCTCTTCAAAGTGATGTTTAGACCCATACACATATGGTTGCAAGCTTATGTTTTAAAGGGCCTTGAAAGCCATTTTGCAAAGGGAGAATGAGTTTCAGGTTCGGGCATGAGAGACAATGTGGTACAGGATGCTTAGGGACTGAGTAAGGCCAAGGAGATATTATGTCTTATATATGTCTATTTTATAAAAGTAGTGGAATTGTTTCCCTCCCACCCCAATAAAAAAGGCATGGATTTATGAACACAGGCATATTTGGAAAGATTGTATCTTCCTCCTGAACAGAGGGACAGAGAGAATAACTGTGTGACTAGATAACAGGAAACCAAGGGGATCTTTGTGTCAGACTTATGTGTTAGAATAAGCAAAGGCAGACAAGGGGGGGCTCTGAAGAGTGATCTATTTCAGAGCATTTAGGAAGTGGGGTGAGGGAAAAGAATGTATTGCTAAGATATGGCTAACTCATCTGAGACAGGGCCCATCTAAATTGCAACTCTGGTTCCAGGTAGCATCTCTAGAACAGGGCTTGGGGACCTGACTAGGAACTGGGATATAAGAAGGACACCAGACATAAGCCTCAGTAGTCTTATAACTTATTTTTTCCAGTAAAATTTCTACCCTTTTGGATATCAGTTTTATGTTTGGATAGACTGGGAAAATTTTTCTTTGAAATCTTCCTGAAATTATATATTTTCTGCTTTATTTTTCACTATAAAGTCTAAAGTATGGTGGTACATACCTAAGATGCTAACATTTAGGAATTTGAAGTGAGGTAATCCACACAATTCTGATGATAGCCTAAGCTACACAGTGAGTTCAAGCCCATCTTGGATTATACAGGAAGTTCCTGCCTCAATAAAATAAAATAACAACAAACAGAAAATAAAGACAAACAAAATTAATCCTAAGTCTGTCATTTGAGTATCTTCTATAAACACCATAAAGGTGGTATCTTGGACTTTAGCCCTAGGTCAATGAAACTTAGTGCTAAAAGCAGCTACAAAGAAATCTTTAAAGACAACATTTCTGGGCCAAATAGATGGCTCAGTGGATAAAAGCACTTGCTTTTAGCCGAAAAACCTAAGTTTCATCCCTGAAATCGACATGGTGGAATGACAGAACCAATTCCTGCAAATTGTCTCCCAATCTCCCAATGTGCACGCATTTGCATGCACACAAACCACAAAATGAATAAATGCAAACTTTTTAAAAATACATTGCTGTCTGTGAGGAAAAGGGAGGAAACAACAGTTTTCACAGAGAATGATTACAGATTCTTTTTTTAATCGTTTTTATTTTAAAACATTCTTTTCTCCTTTTACATACCAATCACAGTTCCCACTCCCTCCCTCCTTTTGCCCTCACCACCTTCCTACCACCCTACCACCCATTCAGTCCTCAGAGAAGGTAAGGCTTTCCAAGGATAGTCAAGGAAGTCTGGTATATACATCTCTTTGAGGTAGAACTAAGCTCCCCCCACCCATAGCCAGGCTGAGCATAATATCCCTCCAAAGGGAATGGGTTTTAAAAAGTTGGGTCAAGCACTAGGGATAAATCCTGGTCACATTGCCAGTGGCCCCACAGAATCCAAAGCTTCACAATTGTCAACCACATTCAGAGGGCATAGTTTGACCCTATGCAGGGCCCCCTGCTCTCAGTCATTGAGTTCCCACTAGATCAGTTCAGCTGTTTCTGTGGCTTTCCCCAAAAATAGTCTTGACCCATTTGTTCATGTTATCTCTTCATTTGGGAGCTCAACTTGTCCCGGTGCTTAGCTGTGGATCTCTGCATCTACTTCCATCAGTTACTGGATGAAGGTTCTATGATGATAATTTCTGTCGCCATCAATTGATTACAGAAGAAGGCCAGTTCAATCACCCTCTCCACTAATCCCAGACTTAGCTGGGATAATCCTTGTGGATTACTGGGAGACCCAAAACTACAAACACTATATGTATTCACTCATAAGTGGATATTAGATCATCTGCTTTCTTAAGAGTCATCTACACACTAAAAGTCAAACTTACCTAGAGGTGTCTCTAAATAATGGAATAGAAAACCTTAAACAATAGTCCACTTAAAAACAACAGCACTTTTCCATTTTTGGTTTGCATCATGTGGGATAAATATCAAAAGTTAGACTAGCCCAGTGGTGGTAGCATATGCCTTTTTTCCCCAGCACTCACTCTGGAGGCAGAGGAAGGTGATCTCTGTGAGTTCAAGGCCAGTTTGGTCTATAAGGGAGTTCTAGGACAGCCCCTAGTAAGTAATGTTTCTGCTTCCACAGAGAAACTCTGTCTTGAAAAACAAAACACAATAAAAAAGTTGAACACAGAACTATTACCATTATTGGACTACACAGAAGAGCCATAAATGCC